AGAAAGGGAGGGAGGAGAGAGAACAGGGAATGGGGGTAGAGGGGGAGGCACCTGCAAGTAAGAGCCCTCCACACGTGCCTTCCACCCTCTCCAGGCTGCTCAATCCGGAGTCCTCCAAGCCAAGGGGTGGGTCAGTAGCCGGGAGGCGGGAAAGCCGAGTCCCAAGTCTGCGGGACCCTGTGTGCTGACCTGGAACGGGAATGTACTTGGGGGATGCTGGGAGCGCGTCTTCCCACAACAGGTGCAGGGCAACGACTGCGGTCTGTGAATCACCCGGACAGGGGAGGAGCGAAAGCCTCCTCACCCCGCCCCAGCCCCCGGCCCAGTGCCCAGACAGCACCCTGGCCTGTCTGAGCCCGAGTCCTCCTGTGAAATTCAGGATAGGCAGCTGGGGGTTAAACACAATACCATATGTGCAGGAAGGGCACAGGGCCCACAGAGTGAGCATTCAATAGATACTGATTCCATTCATTTGAGAGCCCGCAGGTTCGAGACTGGCCCGGGAAACTGCGCAAGACCTCGCCTCTACAATAAATAAAAAATTAGGCCGGGCGCAGTGGTTCACGCCCATAATCCCAGCACTTTGGGAGGCCGAGGTGAGAGGATTGCCTGAGCCCAGGGGTTCGAGGCCAGCCTGGACAACTTGGCGAGACCTTATCTCTACAATTAATAAAAAATTAGCCAGACCTGGTGGCTCGCGCCTGTAGTTCCAGCTACTTGGAAGAATGAGGAGGAAGGATCACCTGAGCCCAGCAGGTTGAGGCTGTGGTGGCCATGAGCATGCCACTGCACTCCAGCCTGGGTGTCAGAATGAGACTCTGACTCAAAAATAAAAATAACAATAAGTAATAAATTAGCTGGGCTTGGTAGCGCGCGCCTGTAGTTCCAGCTATTTGGAAGGCTGAGGCGGAAGGCTCGCCGGAGCCCAGCAGGTGGACGCTGGAGTGGCCGTGAGACTCCAATTAAAAACAAAAAAAAGAAATTCCAAAACATCTGGTCCCTTATCCCAGGGCCCTGAGGCAGAGGTCCACCTACCACCTCCCACTGTTCCCTCCCTGCGTAAGGAGGCTGTAGTGCGTGGTTAGGCCTACAGCTCTGGGTCAGCATGGAGGGTGCACCTGAGACCCAGTTCTGGCACTTGCTAGTATGTTATTCAAGGCAGTGTGACCTTGAACAAGCTTCCCCTCTGAGCCTGTTTTCTCATCTCTAAAATGGGACTGATGGTACCCACCACATAGGGTTGTGAGAATTCACAAGAGTTGAAGCAGCAAGGAGTTCAGAGCCACGGCTGGTGGGCGGTAAGCGGCCGTCCACGGAGGCGGCTGCTCCTGTCCTCATTCGATCCTGTGTCTGGCCTCCTGACACCTCAGGCCCTCGGCCTGGGGCACCCTCAGCTCCATGTGCTATGCCCCAAAGGGGGCATATCCACATCCTCTCGCTAAATCCTCACCACAGCCCATTTCCAGATGAGAAAACTGAGGCTCACCTATCAAGGCGGTAAACTTCAGGGACGTGGTAAGCCTATTTCAAATGGGCCAGCAGCCTCCCAATACTCAAGGGCAGCATGCACACTTCAAGGCTCTGCCACTGTGCCTAGGTCAGACCCAGGAATGCAGCAGGGGCTGCATAAATGCCCATCAGTCCAGGTGGGAGCCCTCATGCCCCACTGCAGAATCTGTCCTGCAGATGGAAAACCAGGCAGCAGGGTGTGGCAAGCCAAGAAGTAAATCAAGTTGCTGCGGCAAGCAAGGTGGGTTTAGGCCAAACGAAGCCAGCCAGGGGCCTCCGGGCAGTCTCCACAGACCCCCCGCAAATGACACACTCAGAACCAGAGCAGCAGGGTCACAGACACCCTGGGCCGGGTGTTCACCCCCTGCACGCCCAGAGCTGGACCAGATGTGCCTGGTGATCGGAATTATCCTGTCACCTGCCACCAGCCAGTGCCCTGAGGGATGGGGGAAGGGCTCAGGACACCAGAGTCTGGGGTCTGGGTGACACCCATCCTCAACTCACCCCCAGGGTGCGCCCTCTAGAGTTCCAAGAAGTCACATCTAAACGCTGTGTGAGCACCACCTCCACCCAATTCTCCAACCAACTGAACTCGCAGGAATCTGAATGTTCCAGCTTTAGCATCTGACAGCCAGACTCCAATCTTGGCTCACCAGCTCCTCACCAGCTGTGTGACTCTGCACAGTGACCGTGCATCTCTGAGCCTCAGTTTTCTCATCTGTAAAATGGAATACCAATGGCTGTTTCTACCATGAGGATTAAATAAGATACACCCAGGCACGGTCCTTAGCTGTATGCCTGAGCGTGTCGTGGCAGGGGTGCAATGTGTTCACCAAAAAGTATTTCTGGTTCCTCTTGGGAATAAAAGCCACTTCCCAGACTCCCTTGCAGTCATCTATGGCCATGTGATCGAGGTCTGGCCCATAGCATTAAGACAGAGAGAACGTGGCCACTGCCTTACTGGACTCTGGTGTGGTCATGTGCTCTTTGAGTTATGGTCATCACCATGTTTCTTGGCTTTGGCCCCCTTCCCTACCTTGGGGAGGTGAATCTCCTCTTTCTCTCTCTAATTTACTTTCTAAATAAACTATAATTTCTAATCTTAAAAAAAAAAAAAACAACAACAACAGAGAATGTGTGCCATTTCAGGCCTGGCCCATAAACACCTCCCATGAGGAAGTCTCTCCTTCCCTGTCTACCAACAGGGAAGGAAATATCTCCAAGGTCCTAAGGGATGCTGGAACCACAGGTGGAAGGGGTCTGGGTCCCTGAGTCACCACACAGCAAGCCACTTGCCAAATGTTTACCCAACAGAACTTTTTTTTCTTTTTCCTTTTTTCTTTTTTTTTTGAGTTGAAGTCTCACTCTGTCACCCAGACTGGAGCGCAGTGGCCGCTCCAGGCCACCGCAGCCTCAACCTGCTAGGCTCCAGCGAGCCTTCCACCTCAGCCTTCCAAGTAGTTGGAACTACAGGCATGCGCTACCACAACTGGCTAATTTTTTGATATATTGTAGAGACAGGTCTCACCAAGTTGCCCAGGCTGGTCTCAAACCCGTGGACTCAAGCAATCCTCTCGCCTCGGCCTCCTAAAGTGCTGGCATTACAGGCGTGAACCACCACGCCCAGCCCCAGCAGGACATTTCATAAATGAGAAATAAACTTTGCCAGACCTCGTCTCTACGATAAATCAAAAAAATTCAGCCAGACATGGTGGCAAGCACCTGGAGTCTCAGCTACTTGGGAGGCTGAAGCAGAAGGATCGCCTGGCCCAGCGGGTTGAGGCTGCAGTAGCTGTGATCGTGCCACCTCAGCCTGGGAGAGAGTGAGAGGCTAACTCAAAAAAAAAAACAAGGTAGTAAACTTCAATGGTGTTAAGCCTCTGAGGATTTAGGGTTTCACTATCACATCAGCTGGTGTTACCTTAATGACTACATGCAGCTAAAGAGTGGACAAGTCGTGGCTATTATTATGGTGACCATTGCTCTTTCCAGTACCCAGTCAAGAGCCCTGTGTTTGGCTCTCGACCCTGAGCCACTACCTGATGAATAATACAGAGAAGGTGCCACGGCCGCTTGGCCTTTCCCACTCTCCAACCTGCCCTCGGCCCGGCCTTGCAGCAGGAACTAGCCAAAAGTCCCTCAGAGATGACCCATGGCCAGGCACGGTGGCGCACACCTGTAATCCCAGTTACGGAGAGAGTCTGAGATGGGAGGACTGCCTGAGCCCAGGAGTTCGCGACCGGCCTGGGCAAGATGGCGAGACCTCATCTCTACAACAAAATTTAAAAACTCAGCCAGTGGCGACATGCACCTGTGGTCCCAGCTACTCAGAAGGCTGAAGTGGAAGGATCACCTGAGCCCAGGAGGTTGAGGCTGTGTTGAGCTGTGATCATGCCACCGCACCCCAGCCTGGGCAACATAATGAGACTCCCACTCAAAAAACAAAAATTACTTGTGAGTTTCTTTTCTTCTTTTTTTTTTTTGAGTAATCAGAGTCACACTCTGTTGCCCAGACCGGAGTGCGGTGGCCGCTCCCGGCCACCGC